CCCCTTCTCCCCATGCTCCTCCTCCTCCTCCTCTTCCTCCTCCTCCTCCTCCTGCTGCTGCCGCTCCCTCCTCTGCTGCTCGTCCGACTGGTGCTCCTCTCCACGAGGCTGAGTCTGGGATCGCAATCCACATCGCGTCCCTGGAATCACCGGGGCGTCCTCTCTCCTCGTCCAAGACCTGTCGGAGTCTGACCTCTCGTCCACCCACTCCTCCCCTGGAATGTGCTGCTCCTCCTCCTCCTCCTCCTCCTCGTTCTCGTCTTTGATGTCCTCGTCCTCCTCCTCCTCGTCGACCTCCTCTGCATGCCCCAATCTCTGCACAGACCTCGATGTCGATGGGCCGGCTCGATCGTGGCGAATAGTGGTGCTGCCCACCGCAGAACCGGCGCCCCCGATAGCAGGCTCGTGGTCGTCAACGGCCTCGGTGACATTCGCCATGTCTCCCTCCAGGTCCTCGTCCTCCCAGTCAGCTGAGAGCCCCAGCCACCCTCCTGCTATCGTGGGCCCGTCTTCCCCCCTGCTCTTCAGCCTCAAGCTCCAGTGCGAGTACACCAACTTGTTGGTGCGCTCGTGGTGCAGCTTGTTCCTGCACTTCGTCTGCACGAGAGGCCAAGTGCTCCAGTTCCTCTCAGCAGGAGAGGAAGTCGTCCATATCGACAACACTCTGATGGCCAGCTCACAAATCTCTGGATGCCCCGCCCCATGCGCCTCCCACCACAGCACCGCATTGTCCTTCGCAGCCCGTTTCTATGCCTGAGGGGTGTCGAGGACTCCTCGCCCAAACGGGAAGTCGTAAAGTTGGTCCATGTAGTCATCGAATCTCGTACTCCCCTTCTTCCTGATGAGCCTCTCGACCACACTCTCAAACTGTGTCACGAGGTCGACATTACTGAAAACGGTAATGTCCCTCAACTGAGGATCCAAGAGTCGAGCCACATCGTGGATCGGGCTGAGCAGCATATCCGTCCTGTTCCCCACGTCCCTGAGGATGTCCTCTCGCTGCTCTGCACTGATGGGGGCCGATCGAACGAAGTTGGGCAGCCGACATGCCATATCGTAGATGCGTGACAAGAAGTGAACATCTTTGTCCACCTCTCGCAACACATTATAGGGCTCCTTCATGACGGCAGTCAGCTTCCTGACATCGGTTCAGAAGACCCTGTCAAGAATTGTTTCCTCCACGAAGAAGGCCTTGGCCGTGATGTCCCCTCGCCAGACCTGCGCCTCCCACTCCTGCCCGGTGACAATGCGTCTGATCGCCTTCTCGCAGACCTCCAGCCGCTACAGCATCACGTAGTGCGTCCCAAATCTCGTCTGCTCCGGTCGGAGGAGACAACTGCATTTCAAGTCCGGGAACTTGACAAGTGGAGTTCTCAATGCCGATCTGGGCCACCTGTGAACCCGGAAGAAGTTCACCACTCTGTTCGCCTTGCTGATGATCTCAGCTGCCCACTCCTTCTTGCAAATGTCGTGCAGGAGGAGGTCCATGCAGTGAGCGGTGCAAGGCAACTTATAGATCTGGCTGAACTCGGGGTCCTCCCTCAACATCCAGACAGCACTCGTGTTGCCCGCAAAAGAGTCCGTGTAGATGGCCGTGATCTTTTCCACCCCCACCTCCCTGAAGAACCGCTTCCATCCAGCTACGACAGCTGCGGAATCCTTGTCCCCCTCACTGACATCCTCGCACTTGATGAAAACAGGCTTCGACCGGCCTGCGAGGATGTAGTTCATAAGCGATTGACCACAGATGTCCGTGGTCCCATCGGTTATGAACGTGCAGCCCGTCACCTCCCAGTCGTCCCGGATCACTTGCTCCTCTTCCTCCAACCTCTTGTTCAGGCGATCCAGGAGCCGACACCTGAGGGGGTTGTACCCAGTAGGCACAAGAGGATGACTCGCTGCAGGCTGTGGCCCATAACACGCCTGCGTGAACTTCTTGAAGCTCCTGCTCTTCGCGGCGTTGAACGGGATCGCGTTCTCCATGAAGAACTTGCAGCAGGAGTCATCTATCTCCTCCTGCCTTGGGTTCTTCACATACCTCTTGATGCTCGTCTGCCTCCCCGTTCTGCGTGTGAGGGCCCCCTGCATCACAGCCTGCGAGGACGCAGGCCTCCCTCCACCGGCGGATCCTCCAGTCACAACTCCCCTCGTCCCCTCATTCAATCCCTCCTCACCCTCCGCACCACATACTTCCTCTAGCTGATCAGCAATCCCACCTCCCCCCTCCTCTCCAGCACCTGACGCGTCAGGAATGTCGTCGTCGTCGTCGTCCCTTTCGTGCTCCAACACCATCCGCACCCTCTCCAGCAGATCCGGTGGAAGCTTTGCACCGATGCGGTGCAGCCTCTTCCAAATGGAGAGGTTCGCACCCAGACATCTGACCGACACCCTCGCCAGGATGAAGTGCTCTGCCGCACACTGCCTGTTCCCTTTGTACTCCTTGTTGCAGAGCTTGCAGCGGAGTCTTCTCACCCCACGAGAATTGCCTGGCAGCATCCGCCCAGGAGTCACCCTAGTCCACACAACATGGTCCCTTGGGCAGGCCATGTCCTCCTCGAATGGCCCCTCCGCCCTGTCCGCCATGTCACCCGACGGTATGCGCCCCAAGCGGCAATGTGGGGGGCGGAAACGCGCAACTGGTACACCGGGAACTGCAAATCCGGTGGCACGTTCTCACAAGGCAGTTGCTTACGTGGCACCTGCTGACGTGGCAGTTCGTGACATGGTGACTGGTGGGCCTGTCTGCTGACGTGGCGGATGCTGTGTCACCTGCTGACGTGGCAGCAACTCACGTGGTGGCTGCACATCCTCCAGCGGCCGTGGCAGCTGCACATCCTCCAGCTTACGTGGCACCTGCTGACGTGGCAGTTCCTTACGTCGCGACTGGTGGGCCTGTCTGTTGACGTGGCGACTCCTGACGTGGCGAATGTTGTGTCACCTGCTGATGTGGCAGCAGCTCACGTGGCAGCTGCACATCCTCCAGCGGCCGTGGCAGCTGCGGTCCTGCGCATGCACGAACGGGGTTCCCGGGTGTGAGAAACGAAAAAAAAAAAAATAAAAAAAAATTGGAGGATGAAGAGGCGAGAAGAAGAAGAAGAGGAGGAGGAGGAGAAGAAAAGGAGGAGAAGAGGAAGAAGAAGATGACGAAAGGAGGAGGAAGATGAGGAAGAGGAGGAGGAGATGGAGAAGAAGAAGAAGACGAGAAGAAGAGGAAGATGGCGTCCCTCGCCATCTTCCTCTTCTCCTCGTCTTCTTCTTCTTCTTCATCTCCTCCTCCTCTTCCTCATCTTCCTCCTCCTTTCGTCATCTTCTTCTTCTTCTTCTTCTCCTCCTCCTCCTCCTTTTATTCTCCTCTTCCTCCTCCTCTTCTTCTTCTTCTCCTCCTCCTCCTCCTGCTCATCTTCTTCCTCCTCCTCCTCATCTTCTTCCTCCTCCTCCTCATCTTCTCCTCCTCCTCTTTTCCTTCTTCTTCTCGTCCTCCTTAACGAGTCCTCATCTTCTCCCTATCCTCTTCGTCGCCATGTTGTCCGCCTGAGGAAAGGTCACGCGTCCTGACGTGGAAGCCGCACGACAACAGCGAACATGATGGGGAAGAAGACGACGACGAGGAGGAGGACAAGAAGAGGAGGAGAAGGAGGGGAAGAAGAAATAGACGATGACAAAAGGAGGAGGAAAATGAGGAGGAAAAGAAGATGTCGAGAGGAAGAAGAAGAAGAGGACGACGAGAAGGAGGAGAAGAAGAAGATCATGATGATGACAAAACGAGGAGGAGGAGAAGACGACGACGAGAAGGAGATGAAGAAGATGACGAAGACGAGGAGGAGAAGAAGAAGAAGAAGAAGAAGAGGAGAGGAAGAAGTTGATGAAGAGGATGAGATGGCGAGCAGGAGGTGAGGCGGAGGGAAAGGTGATGATGACGAAAGGAGGAGGAGGAGGAGGAGGAGGAGGAGGAGGAGAGGACGAAGAAGAAGAAGATGATGACGAAAGGAGGAGGAGGAGAAGACAACGAGGAGGAAGCGATGAAGAAGAAGACGAAGAGGAGGAGGAGAAGAAGAAGAAGACGAGGAGGAGGAGGAGAGGAAGAAAGAAGAAGATGATGACGAAGGGAGGAGGAGAAGAAGACGACGAGGAGGAATCGAATCAATCGATGAAGAAGAAGACGAAGAGGAGGAGGAGGAGGAGGAGAAGAAGAAGAAGAAGAAGAAGAAGAAGAAGAAGAAGAAGAAGAAGAAGAAGAATACGAAAAAAAAAAAAAAAAAAAAAGGTCGCGCGTGCTGACGTGGCAGCCGCGCGACGACAACGGACATGACGGGAAGGATGACGAGGAGGAGAGGAAAAGAGGAAGAGGAGGAGGAAAAGAAGAAGAAGAGGACGAGGAGGAGGAGGAGAAGACGAAGAAGAAGAAGATGATGACGAAGGGAGGAGTAGGAGAAGACAACGAGGAGGAAGCGATGAAGAAGAAGACGAAGAGGAGGAGAA